AAAAAAAAAAAAAAAAAAAAAAAAAAAAAACAGAGCAAGAGTTACAAAAATAAGGTTAAGCACTAAAATTTGTGTAGTAATGAGGCATTAAAAGAATTTCCATTAACCAATTCTTTCTCAAAGAAAGAAAAAACATCTTTATACTTTTTATAAAGTTTCAAATCTTAAAAAACTTAAAACTCAAATAACCTTTTTTGATTGTTTTTTTGCAGAATTTAACTTGTTATAAGTTAAACTGTAACTGTCACTGAAAACTGCAGTGCTATTGGAGGATCATTGCCACTGGTACATATCTATCATTCTGTCAGTTGCTTCAAAAAGTGATATTAACAAAACAAAGCTTTAGATGTATAAATAGTTGGAGAATTAAGTATAAAATCTAGAACAAGTAAGTTTATTAATTAATTAATTAATTTTTTATTTATTTATTTTTTTTTTGGATAATTTCGAACCTGAACTTTAACCTTCTGTTATCTACTGTTTCTTAGTTTTGGTCTTCAGTACTACTAGGTTTCCCTATAATTTCCTTGCCAATATTTGTTTCAGATTTCTTTATAAGTGTCCTACCACTGTTTACCTGGTGTTATAATTACAGCTATTGTTGATGTCATAATTGTTGAAGAAAATGTTGCGTAACAATAGACCAATCAGGAATTTTTATGGTAATGGGGAAAAAGAAGAAGACGGAAAAGAAGAACTATTGCGTAGGAATCTTGTTAGAGTGACCTTCAGTAACTGACACCGACTTTTACGCCATGTATGGTTCTATTAAATTTAACAGCCTGCTACAGTTTAGTTGGCTAATCCATTGGAACTTTTCAAATGTTCATTCAACCAAAAAGAAAACAACAAAAACAAAAAAAAAAGATCAAGAAAGTTTTTGGAGACTGCAAAAACAAAATTTTAACAGTTAGCTGGTCCTTATTTTGCTATATTAACTTCAGATATAGTGAATTAATTTATTTGTGTCATTGAAAAGTACGCGATTAGAATATGCAAAAATCAAACTGTAGCGAAAATGTATCGCATTGTTTATGTCTTCAGAATGTTGTTGTTTTTTTCAGAAACTACATTGACCTTCAAAAAAAAAAATGTTTTTTTTTTAATTTCCGGCATATAAATTTGTTCAATTTATTGTATCTTCAAAAACATATATATTTTATTTTGAAGCATTTTGCGCAACCATAAACATAGTGTGATGTAATGCAAAAAAAAATTTTTGTCGCATCAAAACGGTACAGGATATAAGTTTCCGGCACTTCAAAAATACGTTTTGCTTTTGGAACTTTATTTACCAATAACAATAATAAATACAAATAACAATTGTACAATTTTGGTTTTGTCTGAATTGAGTCAAAAACTCGTTTTATAAATGGTATCTTTTGTTTTCAAAAAATAATTTTATTTTTACTGCTTTTGTTGTCGATAAAAGCTGCAGAAATAAAATTACTGCAAATATACAGTCAGTGGATCTATTATTGAGTCTAAATAAATCAAAAAAAAAAAAAAGGAAAAAGACCAATAAAAATTGAGAATGAAAAACAAAATATAGCAATGGTATTTTTGGATTTAATACTTTAATATTTCTTATTGAAAAAAATATCATTCAGATCAGTAGAGCGTCAAAAAATAAGTAACACTTGAAAAACGAAAGTTCACTCAAAATCCCTCTAATAATGGCTATAGCCTTTAGTGGTTTAGGATAATTATTGATACTAATACTTGCTATTATTACTCTTAGTATTATTATTATTATTATTATTATTATTATTATTATTATATTATTATTATTATTATTATTATTATTATTATTATTATTGTATTATTATTATTATTATTATTATTATTATTATTATCACTACCATAATTATTATTACTCTTATTAGTATTAATATTAGTACTACTATCGTTGTTGTTACTGTTAGTGTCGCGACTATTGTTATTGATTTTTGTAACAAATTTATAGCTTTATAAATTTCAAAAAATTGTTTAAATTTTTAAAATTCCGAAATATTTTATGTGAATAAAATTTTGCGTAATGTTTGACTTCAGACTTCAGAGCACAAGAAACTTTATCCATTCTTTACGAAGATGTAAACCAGGATTCACTTTAGAGCATAAAATTTACGGATGCAGATTAACATATTGGATTGTTATATATTTCTTTAGTTTAGTAAAGTCCTTAGCAAATAAGAACCGTTTTTTTAAGTGAAATTAAATTGTCTAAAGATGAGACTTATAAAAATACTTTCAGTAAATTATTTTCACTGTTGGTTAAAATTTTTATCGAAGATGGTTTATGTAAATTACTTATTTTTTCAACACTTGTTCACTACTCTACCGGTAATTCAGATAGAGTAAACATCAATTTCTAGATTAATTCAGTCTTAGTTTCTGATGCATAATCATTCACTTCTGAACAACTGTTTAAAATTACTCCAGTAATTCAATTTAACCAATACTTTAATTCTAAAAATAACATTCTTATTAGTCGACTTTTATTGGATGTATTTAGTACTAATTTTATCTGGTTTGTTAGTTTGTAAAGAATAAAATGGATAATGCATGACCGGTAAATATCTGAAGTAGTAAACAAAACTGTGCGTTAAAATTGAAGAAGGTTCAGTTGATAAACAAAATTTTTTTGAACAAATACATTACCTTTATAGAAGCCGAACAAATCAGCGGTAACCAAAGAAATAGAAAGTAGCAAAAGTTTCGCGGAGCCATATTACTGCTCACAGATACTGGAGCTGCCGTCTAGACGAGCTGACAGATATCAAACTGACAGATGCACGTCAAAACCTGGAAACGGGGAATGAATCAACTAAAGATAAGGATGTAAACGGGCTTAGGAATCTGAAGCCCCCACCCAAATGACCTAATTTTGGCGTTCAAAGGACGCTTATGTATTACAATCTTTTCTTTTTGCTATTACATAACACTAAGTGGATGTGTGCTGTTTGTACGTCCATGTGCTGGGGACACGGCATCAAAATTCTAATCAACGCCGGTTCGCTGCCGGAACAATGACGACGATTATGCCGGCTTAGATGCTTTCCGATGCTATCGGCAACATGGTTCTTGTTATATTTTTTAGAATATGAAACAGTTTCGCAAACCGTAGATGACCTTTCAATTCCCGGTTTACTATTTCTAAAATACGATAACGTCCTTGAAGGAACAAACAAACACAAATGAAGGAAGGGAGGAGAACAGGGAGAGAATCTTATAATTTTTTTGTTTGTCGAACTTGACGATCATGTAAAACATGGTTTCGCGTTAGGCGCTTCTTTTTCAATATGAAGTATTAAAGGTGAAATGAAAGTACAAAAAATTTTTACTAGTAAAAAAACCTCATTTTAATTTGTTCTTTTTTCATGAACTCTTTGGATGATTAGGATGAACAGTGGACTGTTTTAAGCAGTGTAACAGTTTGAACTTGGTTTACTGCAATGTCATCTTTAATGTCTGATTTTCGCGCTCACAAAGCCTGTCATCATTTCTCTTTTATTACTTTTTTCTTCATCTTCAACAAAACCAATGGCTTGGGAACAAAGGAACAAGATTTCAAAGAGAAAACTACTAACATTTCTTTTAAAAACCCTTTCTGTAAAAAAAATTTAAAAAGGAACGGACTTTGGAAATAATTTTTTTAGCGTAAGAATGTACATCCTGATTACCACTTATGTGTAAATCATTTTTCCAAACACCTTTAGCTACTGTTGTTATTTATCGGGTTTCAAGAAAATTTCTGCAAGAACGGATGTCACAGAGTGTATGAGATGTGCTATATGAGTAAGCCAGAAATTATCAAACCGAAAAATTTACTAGTATTGAGAAGTGACATGGCTTTGCACCACAGATACCCCTCATGTATATCCACTGGATAAAAACTTTTTTGGAGAAATTAGAAGTGTTCATGAGTGCTTAAACTAGAAACAGATTTTGTAACATACTTTGTACAGATAGCAACGGTCATTGCCTAATCAATAAAGATTAGTTCCACAAATATTTTTTCAAATTTTTTCCAACTTTTTGGGGATAAGACTTTAACTGAAACGAATAGACTTGTTTTCCATAATTTACCACAGTTCTTAGTAAACTAAAATTATTTTGAAGACAAAAATAGACTTCTAGAGTTAAGTGTAATAAATGCAACAAGAAACTAATATAAATAACAGTATGCATATAAAGCCAAAGAACTCAGCTTCAATACGACAGTTCCATAATCCGCTTTTTTTCCACTATCCTCTCTCATATCCTATTTCACTTCTTTCCTTATCCATTCACCTACAGCTGATACGTTTGTGATAACACAAGAGGTGAACAGGATAACTTTTTTATTGGGTGGGGTGGGGGGAGAGGGGGAGGGTAAATACCAACTGCATTACTCTTCCTGACATTATAGACAAATTTAATAAATATTTTCAAAGTTCTATTCAAGACGCAGTTAAGAAATGTACCATACTTTATATTCCTTTGTCTATTTCTGTATATTTCTCCGAAGTGTTGACCAAATTGAAGACTTATTGTTAAACGAACTATTTAGCAATGATGTCAGGTCAATTAAAGTTGTTTACCAGATTTTTTCACAGCAAAAAAGAATGAGCATTGTTCTGTGAAAGACCTTTAAGAACGTCAAATTATCTTCTACAGGGGTATGGCAAGCCTTATTGTTGCTAGTGCAGCATTTCGTTCAGTTGAGTACTACGATGGTTTGTGGTCAGACAAATACGTAAAGATAGATTTTTGTTTACTGTCATTACCGCACCAGTCCATCTGCAAATCTAGAAACATTAAGGAGACCGCTGACAACGGTAATGACGATAAAATATCTACTGCTGACAGAATGGTCATTATATAGGTGGTTGTTCCAACAACACCTTGTCACCACAAATAAACGCCTATCATCAGGAATCTCCTCAGGTGGTATGCCTTTGTTATTTATTACCCAGGAAGTAAACTTTGGTATTTTGTTGCCCTGAACTAGATCAAGACCGATACTCAGTTGCAACAATTTGATATAAAAAAATGAAGGTTGTTTTAAAGTTAGTCATAAGAAACATAAAAGAAACAGTTTGAACTGTTTGTTATTCAATTGCGACAAATATAATGATAAAGGAACGTTTGTTCGAAATTTGAAAGGAGAAAAAATAATGAAAAGAATGTCGTAAGAAACATTTTTTGTTATATCTATTTTACCAAAAAAAAATGTGTCAACGTAAACGGAAACAGAGATATAAATCAGAATTCATAAAATGAAACCAATAATAATGATATCAGTGTTCTTTTCACAGGACTTGAAACAAAGTCATAGTTAACACTAAGCAAATTGGCAAAATGCTACTTATCGTTCACATAGATGACAAAAAATTTTTCAGTTTACTTAGTAATAAGGTTTGCCTTCAGCGAAAAATCTACGGCTGTAGGCTGCTTGATTCGGTTTCTTTAACTGACAGAGTACTGCTACTTTTCAGAAACCCGTTTTCAGCAGTTGTGTTTCGCTTGAACCACTGAGTATAATGCTGATGAAGACTACTAAAATTTGACGTCTGCAATTGATTTCTCATGAGTAATAGTATAATTTTTCAGTACAGTAAATACAGTT